GCACTTCTTTCTTTTGCCTGTGTCATTTGCTCTAGGCCAGCAATCCTCTCTGCCACTGTTGCACTGTGTGTCCAGCCCCAGACCCATGTGGGTCCACCCAGGTCAAGGACCGAAGGAATCCCAGAAACTTCAGGCCCTCTGCTCCATCATGGGCCTTCAGGAACCAGGGGGAAGCAGAAAGTAGAAGAATGTTCCAATGGGTTAGGAGAGTTTTCCTCATTTAATATTTAGATTTTAAATTGAGTAACTTTTCAAGTATTTACTTGTGAAGAGCTTGTCTTCAGATTCAAGGGCAGCCAGTATAAACCTGGATCTTCAGTGAGCAATGAAATCTAACGAGTCTGACCTCTCCACTCCCTCAGAAGTGGGGTCACCAGATAATGTCATTCCTGGCTGAGAAACCCCTGTGGCTTCCCATCTCGCTTGGAAGGAAGTCCAAAGTCCTGCACAGGCTGCCCTGCCTCCAAAATCAGTCTCCTCTGGGTCTTGCCATCTCCAACCACACCTGCCTATGGCTGGTGTGTTCTCCGTGGCTGCTGCCTGAGATGCTGTCCCTTCTTGGCAGTCTCTTTTTTGTTCGAGGTCTCACACCTCTATTTCACCTACTCAGAGACTGTCTCTGGCCACCTGGTCTAGAGCAGCCTGGAAGAAGGGCCCTGAGATCGGGGCACAGGTCTGTCCTTGTCCCCTTACCTCGCTTCCTCTGTTTCCCCCCAAGACCCTTCTATGAGCCACTGCTCAGGTCCCCAACACTCCTTCCTCTCCCTCCACAACTTGGTTGCCTTCCTCTGAAGTCTGCATGTGCCAAATGTTCTCCCAATGTTTGCTTTTCCCTCCTGCCTCTTCCTCAAGAAAAATAATCTTTCTCTGTGTCCTATCTCTCCAGGATCCAGAGTGAGGGGTAAGAAATGGGACTCTGGAGACATAAACACATGCAGCAAATCCTGAAGGACTGTGGTGAGCCAGGTACTGTCCTGGGCCCTGGTTTACTCCGGGGTTTGAATCCTAGCTTTTCAACTTACTCCCGGGGTGTCATGGTCCTAACCTCTTGGACCCTTAGGCTTATCATCTTTAAAAGCAACTCTTTTTTTTTTTTTTCAACGTTTTTTTATTTTATTTTTGGGACAGAGAGAGACAGAGCATGAACGGGGGAGGGGCAGAGAGAGAGGGAGACACAGAATCGGAAACAGGCTCCAGGCTCTGAGCCATCAGCCCAGAGCCCGACGCGGGGCTCGAACTCCCGGACCGCGAGATCGTGACCTGGCTGAAGTCGGACGCTTAACCGACTGCGCCACCCAGGCGCCCCTAGGCTTATCATCTTTAAAATGGGACTAGTAGGGGGCGCCTGGGTGGCTCAGTTGGTAAGCATCCTGCTCCAGCACAGGTCATGATCTCACGGTTCGTGAGTTTGAGCCTCGCATCGGGCTCTGTGCTGACAGCTCAGAGCCTGGAGCCTGCTTCAGATTCTGTGTCTCCCTCTCTCTCTGCTCCTCCCCCACTCATTCTGTCTCTCAAAAATAAATAAACATTAAAACAATTTTTAAATGGGGCTAGTAAAGTCTACTGTGATGGTTAATTTTATGTGTGAACTTGGCTGGGCTACAGTGCCCAGATATTTGGTCAAATATTATTCTGAATGTTTCTGTGAGTGTGTTTTGGGATGAGGTTAACATTTAAATTGGTGGACTTGAGTAAAGCAGATTGACCTCTGTAATGCGGGTGGGCCTCGTGCAGTCAGTTGAAGGCAGACAAAAAGACTGACCTCCCCTGTGCAAGAATGAATTCTGCCAGCAGACAGCCTGCAACGTCAGCTCTTTCCCAGGTCTGCAGGCTGCCGGCCCACCCTGAAGAGTTTGGACTTGCCAGGCTTAATTACATGAGCAAATTCCTTAAAATCAGCCTCTCTATGTATAGATGCATCCTACTGGTTTTGTTTCTCTGGAGAACCCCAAACTCATACATCTACCTTGCAGGATTTTGTCACATTCATCAGCCCTAATATTTGCTCCCACTTACTGAGTGCTTACCGCGTGCCACCCGCCTTGCTAAGGGTTGACCTTACGTGATCTCGTGTAATCCTCACCACAGCCTTACGAGCCGCCATCATTATTATCCTGTGTTACAGCAAGGAAATGGACATTCAGATGGCAATCCGACAGTCAATAAAGGCTGGCGTGAGGGGGGCTTGAGAGGGGAGCTCATAGAGGAGACAGAGATGTGCGTGACCAATTACCTGGACTTTCTACAGCCAATTTCGAACCTGTCCACTTAAACATCTTTTCACTGATAAGCTCATACACCGAAACAAGTCGCCCACATGGCCTGCTTCCAGTGAAGCAGAAGGCAAGAGAGATGTAGCTCGCAGGGTGCTGTGGCTCACGGAGCGGCTGCCAGAGAAAGGCTGCCCAGCCGTCACCACAGGGTTTACCCTGTCTGCCCTGACTTTGCTGTCGCTTCACTTGGCCTGCTCTGGGAAGCAAGAGCCCCCCACTGAGAGGCTGTAAGTCCTTCTGGAATGGTTCTCCCGGTTGGCCATGCTAGATGTTTCCCCAGAAAATTCCCTTTATCCGTGAACAAACTTTTTTTTAAATTTTTTAATTGGAAAGGGAAGGACAAATGAAGGGTTTTCAAAAAAATGAGAAAAGTCTTTCGAGGCAGATAAATGTGCACTCTTCTTCCACGCGAATTAGAATGGATTCTACAAAAGCATGTTCCATTTACTATACTCCTTTTAGCATTTTGTTAGGAGCTTTGCCTGCCCGTGTTTTCTTTTTTCACGTTCCCATAATGCTGTGAAATGGATATTGCTTGACAGATGATAGCATAGTGGCTCGAGGGACACAGGGACTTGCCCACATTCACATAGTCACACAGTTACTCCAGCTTTGCTCTGGTGAAGGAGCCTCACCACGAGTGATCACCTGGCAGCTACGGGGAGACGTGGTGATTCTGATAATCCTTGGCTTCTGCTGGGAAGAATGCCTAAGGGGAATGCCTGAAAATAGTGGGATCTGTTTGCTTTCTTTTTTTTTTTTTTTTTAATTTTTTAAGTTTATTTATTTTGAGAGAGAAAGCGCATGAGACGTGTAAGGGCAGAGAGAGAGAGGGAGACACAGAATCTGAAGCAGGCTCCAGGCTTTGAGCTGTCAGCACAGAGCCCAACGCGGGGCTCGAACTCACCAACCGTGAGATCCTGATGACCTGAGCCAAAATCACGAGTCAGACGCTCAACTGACTGAGCCACCCAGCACACGCACTTACTCTAGGTATCAACGTATTCTAAATGCTAGACATAAGACATAGTTCTTGTCTGGCCAAACACTGGGTTGACATTGTGCAGATGGTAAAACATCATAAATGCCAAATTCAGCAAATGTTTCCCTGATGGATCTTTCTCTTTGTCCTAAAAACTGAGAACACTGGTTTTTGCTAAGAAGTGTCCTTATTACTACAGTGTTCTTTCTGTTTGGCTGACGTTTGTTTTCTTATTCTTGTTAATCCTTTCCGAAATCCATGCCTTCTCAAACCAGTTAGATCACGAATTCCTTGAAACCAGAGGTTACGCACTTACAAGCAGCTCGATAAATATGCTCTGACTTCCTACAAATCATTTATGACACCCAGTAATTTCCCTATAGAATCAAAATTGTGTACTTTAGCAAGCCATCAATTTTATTTTTAAGCAGTAAAGTTCATGCTCTCACTTCTCCTATCATGTTTTTTCTCCTGGATCTAAATCACACTGTGAATCCATGTGTGTACCCTGATAATGTATGATATAACTCGCAGTGCAGCTCTTTAAGCCTCCTTTTCCTGCAAACCTAGGGAAATCAGAAATGTTTGCCAGGGACACATTAGCTTTAAGAACTTGTTTCCGAACTGTATTTGCATACTCATGCCCCCTCGGTCTCTGTGTCTCTCTCTCCTCTCTCCTGGCCTCTCTTGCATTCCCACAGATCGCAATGTGATTTTTGCCAAATTCATACAGTAACTTCTGGGCTGTGAGCAAAGGCTAGGGGACTATGAGAAAGGTCATTGCTCCCTGCCTATTGTTCCTTGGCGTTCCCAGGCCCCAGCCATGTTCTTGTTTAAACACAAGACTTGTTGGGGCGCCTGGGTGGCGCAGTCGGTTAAGCGTCCGACTTCAGCCAGGTCACCATCTCGCAGTCCGTGAGTTCGAGCCCCGCGTCGGGCTCTGGGCTGATGGCTCGGAGCCTGGAGCCTGTTTCCGATTCTGTGTCTCCCTCTCTCTCTGCCCCTCGCCTGTTCATGCTCTGTCTCTCTCTGTCCCAAAAATAAATAAACGTTGAAAAAAAAATTTAAAACACAAGACTTGTTAAATAGTTCCTAAAACCAGGTGTTTGGAGAAGGAGAAGGAAAAGTCATAGGAACTAAACCAGCTGCCAGTCTGGTGACCCTAGTACAGAACCTACACAGGGCCAGGCATGAAGGGGGGGACAAGGCAGGGGTGCAATGTAAGTGCAAATGCCCCTTTATTCTCTGGGCTGTGGGAACCCATGCCCATCCTTCCTCACCTGGGCAGCCCTCCAGCCTTGTTTGACCTTGGAGCTGTACCTGCAGGGCAAAAGAGAAGCCATGTGTTTCCCTAAGCAGTTATTGGTAGTCTGCCAGGAGGCCCGGTGCTCTGCTGGCATCGCTGGCGATTCGGACAGGCTCCTCACTGCTTGCTTTCCGGTTAAGGCTGGCCTGGCCCCAGAAGGAGGCCCTGAGAGAAGTTCCTTGGAGGGGACCTCTGGAGGCAGGTGTGGGTGGGGGGCCCTTCTCTTCTTTCCTGAGACGGCACTGGCGAGGCGTGTAACCACCCCACCATCCAATCGCGTTTCTCAAATCTTGAGTGGGTCACACTCTTAAGAAAGGATGGCCCCGCCCCCCCTTGTCCCCCAAGGCTGGCACAACAGACAGATCTCCTGCCCGAATATCTCTCTCCACCTAGCCTGGCACCTGGTCTAAACTTCACACCACCATGTTCTTTCCGGCAGGTCCAGAAAACCCTGTGAGGATGAACAAGTGTCACTTGAGAGCGCACGATGCAAGCAGTGCACCGATTGGCCGCTAAGACTGTCCAGTGTGCGGATGCCTCCCAGAAGATAGCAGGGCTTTGAGAAGCAGGAAGGAACTCAGCAGGGGTAAGTCTGAATGCACAGGCGAGTCAGAAAAATCCGCAGCACCGGCTTCTCAATAGACATGGGTGCCAGTAAAATAGGGGAGGAAAAGGTTGTGAGGCAGGACCAAGCTGGCCCTTAGCCCAGAGGAGTAGCAGGGCCTGAGGGCTCTGGCTGAAGAAGGGTCCATGCCCCATTTGCAGGGGAAGTCATTGACCATTCCCAGCCCTTGCTGCGGCCTGAGAATGGGGGCCCCACTGGCCAGGTTTCGGTGTTTTTGTTTTTTACGAGAAGGGAGAAACCACAACCAGCTTGTTTTTGCATATTGGCAGCTAATTTAGTATTTAGAAATACTGCATAGTCCCGCCCAGTATACACTAATGAAAACATTTGTGTGCCTCGTTTGGCTTCTAGGAAACAGTGAAGGAGGAGACCACCCAGGGTCATACTGCCTCTAGGGGCAGCCGAGACCCTGTTCCTTCCAGCTCTAATGCAGAACATAAAATGATGTAACAGGCAGGAGGCCCTTGACAATCGGTCAGACCCATTTAAGCCAAGAGCCAAGTGTAATTCTGTCTACCTCTTTACCTCAGATCCATATCTTGACCCTGGGAAAAAAATAGTTCAATCCGTTCTTTTTCTTTTTCTTCCTCTTCTAAGCTCAAAAAAAAAAAACAAAACAAACAAAAAAAAAAAGCAAAAAGCTAACATGTAAAGCTTCACCAGGATTATCTCTTTGGCGAGGTGGCACTTACTTCTACAGGAGACCTTTGTCTCCTAGTCATTAGTCAGCAGTGTTCAGGTGAATCCCCAAGCCAGCAACATTTAGAACTTGGACAAAAAGCCGTGAAGCCCTGAAGGACCTTGGGCAAGGTTCTTGGTCTATCTAATTCCCTTCTTTTGCTCACTAAGAGAACCTGTTGTTATGGGGGAAAACACAAAACCAAGAATAACTAATCATCTTCCAGACACGTGTGCCTCAGTTTGTTCCTCCGTAAAACTAGTGGAACAGGTCCAAGGCCTTCGGAGGCCAAGGGTCTCTAATAGCCCTCTACCTAGAACACTTCCCCCTGTGAACTCAGGAATGCCCTCCAGCAAGAGTGTGAAATGCATGACGTTTCAATTCTTTGAGCTTCTTCCTACTCCCCCTACCTCTGGTTACCGGATGCCCTGGCTGAAGTCTGGATGCCCCAGGGATCCAGGCTGAATAAAAAGCCTGGTTGTTTTACTAAGTGATATAGCAAGATCTACAAATACAAACACCAAAAGATCGAGACTACAATGTGCATATGAATATCCCTTGGACCCAAAAGCACATGAAGAACTTGCGCTCCCTGTTTTAAAGGTTCAGAATGTCCTCATCACTCATTTTAGAAATCACATTCGGGACTTTCATGCTGAATGCCATTAAGTGGGTAGTGTTTGGAACTATCTGCTCATCCTAACTTGGAAGCAAGTTTATTTACTCAGCATAAAAGGAAGTATTTGAACTCACAGAGTGTGATTCTCTGCAACTTTTAAAAGTAGCAAGACTGGACAGGCAACTTTTAGGACAGTAAGACATATCTCTCTGTTCTGAATACCACCTTGCTACCTTAACTAGGCAATTGTAGCTGGGTAGACGTTCAAGGTGAAAAAGGACATGAGTTTTAGTAAATACAGGTAATATACTTAGATGATACTAATGGGCTCTGTTTTCTAGGATTCCATTCTATTGCCTTCTTCATTCAGTTAGTTTTGAACCATTCTCTTGTGAAACTAAACGTTTGAACCATTCTTTTGTGAAACTAAACGTGTGAACAACGTTTTTGAGACTATCACATTATCACCTAGGTGAATAGGATGACCTTCCCATCCCAACATTAATACTTGCCGAAGACGTTATTAGGACCCAGCTGGCCTTTTCAAATGACAGATTTGCGTAAAAATTAGGCTAGGAGCAAAATGGACCTGAAGCTGCCTTAGTGCATGGCATATGGTTATATTCCCTTCTCCCCTCCTCCACGTATAGCTCAGTATCCCTCATAAAGGAGACATCAGAAAAATTATGGAATATGCAGAAGAACTGAACCTGAGAAAAGGCCAGCAACTGCTGAAGTAGATGGTGTGTGAGAATGAGAAGGGAACAGGAGGCAGGCTGAGCCCCAGCTGTCCCAGCTCTGGGCAGAGGGCACCTCACCAGGCTTCAGTGGTGCTGGAGATCCTCTCCCAGATACTTTCTCCAGGGCACAGTTTCACCCTGGTCCCAGCTCAGCTCTCCCGCTTCTGTGCTAAGAAGCCAACCAATTCTCCTCAGGCCCCTCCTGGCTTCTTTCTCTCCTCCACGTGATCATTTTGCTCACCTCCTCTGGATTCTCGCCTAACGCTTACAGCCTTGCTTAATCATTTAGTAGCTGCCAGTAAGGAAGGACACGGCACAGGGAATTTCATTGAGGCTGTGTTCTTCTAAGCCATTGAGTGGAAACAAGCATCACACTCTGCCCCAGACAGTGTTTTGTTGATGCTACACTTGGTTCGAAGCCTCCCATGACTTCCTAGGATGTTTCTTTTTCTATTCTTAGGCATAGCTCGCCATTCTTCTACCTTTATGCAGCTTGTGTTTCCCCTGGCCCTTCTCTTTTGCCCTGGCCTCTAGACCAGGAGTGGAGTGATTAGAATGTGCTCGTGTAACTTTTACCCCTCACTGTGGTTCCTGGAGCTGGAGCCTCTCCAGTACGACTCCCTGCTTCTGCAGGGTTTTTCTCTTGCTGGAGTCCTCCTTGCCCTGTGGTCTTATCCACAATGGGCAGCTCCTGGGAAAGACACGTCCATCATCTCATCTGCTTTGTTTTTCTTCCTCTTTCTGGAAGTTGAACGGCGTGGCTGGCTGGAATGGACAACCTTGCACCAAAAGCACCTAAGTGAAGGGGTGCCTGGGTGGCTCAGTCAGTTGAGCGTCTGACTTCGGCTCGGGTCATGATCTCATGGCTCGTGAGTTCAAGCCCCGTGTCAGGCTCTGCGCTGACAGCTTGGAGCCTGGAGCCTGCTTTGGATTCTGTGTCACCCTCTCTCTCTGCCCCTAACCTGCTTGCATTACATCTCTCTCGAAAGTAAATAAACATTAAAAAAAAAAAAAAAAAAAAAAAGCACGTAAGGGACTCCAAGGTGTTTTTCCTTCTCAGAAATGTCGTAGTTACCCCTCTTTCTGGATTTCATCCTATTGTTACATATAATTCTGCCATGCTGCTGCTCTGTTCTTTTCTAGGTGGGGGAGGTATTGCAATACAAGTACTTGTTACTCTACATGTAGGTCATCTGCCAAGGTTTAGCTCTCTGTTGCAACCAGATTCTGCTTGAAGGTTGGCCATTCACCTGATAGGTGGTGTTAACTGAATTTCTTCTGCATAACAGGGCTTGTTGGCATCAAAAGGGCAAGGGAGAAACAAGAAATTGACTTCAGAACCCCAGTTTGAGGGTGTACCAAGAAATTAATTTTGGAGAGAATTGAGATTGAAGTTAATCATTCCTTGGTTTGGTGAATATTTATTGGGTCCCTACTACATGCAAAACGCTGGGTTTACAAGCAATGAATAAAACTAGAAAGCAGTTAAACCACAATAACAGATGATTTGTTAACAGCTCTAAGACATGGAGACCCAAGAACCCTTTGAGGAAGAAATGAAAATTACCCAGAAATAGTAATTTTATATATTAGCTCCTACCTTTTCCTTAAAAAAACTGAAAGTCCTGAAATAGAACTCTTTTATCAAAGAAGTCTGATAGAAGCATCCTTAAAGAAGAAGCAATGCCTGCCTGGGGTAAGATTACAGAGGAGGAAGAATAGGGAAGTGTGACCTCTTTTCCTTGTGGCCCTTGGACACTAAGGGATTTTTTGTTTTTTAATTTTTTTTTAACGTTTATTTATTTTTGAGACAGAGAGAGACAGAGCATGAATGGGGGAGGGTCAGAGAGAGAGGGAGACACCGACTGGGAAACAGGCTCCAGGCTCTGAGTGGTCAGCACAGAGCCCGACGCGGGGCTCGAACTCACGGACCGCGAGATCGTGACCTGAGCCGAAGTCGGCCGCTTAACCGACTGAGCCACCCAGGCGCCCCACTAAGGGATTTTTTTAAGGGACTGAGCAACTTAATCAAGGGAAATAAACACAAGTGGAATTCCAAAACCTGATTTTTGAAACCAAGAACTATAAAACTGACAAAGACCCTGACACAGACAAGATACCCAGTGTTAACTGAATTCTATTGAAAATTATATTATCACAGAGGCTCATTAGCTTAAATCGAGGGGCTAGAAAAAAAAAACTAATGAGAAAATAAAGAATGAAAAAAAATCATTTAAGATTTAAAGGAGCTATTTGTAAACTTGTTTACAAAGAAATTAGCGTAAAAACCAAAAATGAAATCAAAATGAGCTCAACTCTTCTGGCCCATGGAGAGTTTGGAATCCTAGGAACATCTCTGGTGACCTTGAAAAGGGATTGCATGTGAATTGGGGACAGAATGTCAAAACTTTGATCAAAGGTTCCGTTGCTTATTGAAAAGGACTCCACCCAATAGAGGAATCTTCTCTATAGCATTTCCAGCTAAATGCTTTCTTTTTCAAAGAACATCTCATACAATTTCGATGGAGTATTATTTCAAACCTCAAGTTTACTCTAATTAACAGCTTTTCTGAGAAGATATAAACTCCATTTAGAAAAACTTGATTTACCACATTTTAAAGGACACTGAAAGTTGATAGTACAGTTTGCAAAAGACAAATTCCTGACTCTTTTCTATTTTGTTTAATTTTACCTCCTGGAATGTTCTCCGTTCTCTCAAGAGATTGTAGAATTCACTCTCGGAATGAAAACAATTTAAATTCATTTAAAAATAATTTAATAAACACAACTAGACAACACGTAGCCCTTGGAGTGGAAAGAAGGACTGAAGTTTTTAACAAATCTAACAATAAACGTTAAGGGCTTGAAATAACAGAACATTAAGCAGCTTTTTCTGGGGACTGTTGTGTCTCCCCGCCCCCACTCGACCTCGTGGCTGATCAGTGGGAGGTTTCTGCCTTAGCCTTCAACACAGTCCTTACTCTGCATATGCGGTTTGTGTTCATAGTACATTTTCACAGAAACATAGAACATGTGTCCTGTAAACTAACAGCTCTGACACTCCAACATGCTTAGAAATTTTAGAAAATGAAAAGAAGCTGCTATGGACTGAATGTGCTGCCCCACCCCTACACACCCAATTCTAATCCCACCCAGCTTGGTAGCATTTGGAGGTAGGGTTTGGGGGAGGAAATTAGAGGTTATCATGATAGGATTAATGCTCTTCTAAAAAGAGACGGGAACCTCCCCTCCCCCTCCACACATGCACCAAGAAAGAGCCATGTGAGGTCTCAAAGAGGACCATCTGCAAATCAGGAAGTGGGCTCTCATCAGAAACCAAATCTGGGGGTGCCTGGGTGGCTCACTGAGGTTAAGCATCCAACTTTTGATTTCGGCTCAGGTCATGAGAACAAGCCCCTGTGTGGAGCCCCCATGTTGAGCCCCTGCTTTGGGTCAAGCCCCTCTCTTTCTTTCTCTCTCACTCTCTGCTGCTCCCCCACTTGTGCGTGTGTGTGTGTGTGTGTGTGTGTGTGTGTGTGTGTGTTGCCACCTTGATCTAGATTCCTCAGCCTCCAGAACAATGAGTAACAAGTGTCTGTTGTCTAAGCCACCCAATCTATGGTATTTTGTTATAGCAGCCACTGCTGATGGAGACAACAAGCCTTCACAAGTCAGCTAGTTTACTGACTTGGCTTAGAACCTGTGGAGATCAAATGATAATCTGTATATGTGATAAGCATACTGTATTTGTTGATGTCACCCAAAGAGATCGCTACCATGATTTTCCAATCTTGATTGAGCCCCTACTCTATGCTAGACAATGATCAAATTTCAACTCCACGAAAGCTCTCAATATTTAGACTCCCAGAGTCTCTAAGAAGAAAACAGTAGCTTGGAATTCTACACATGGAAGATCAGCAGGTTTTCAACAGCTATAACTTCCCATGTTGTCTGGACCTTCTTGCGGCTACTACTGTTTGGTAGTAAGGGTGAAATCTGGGTACTCCAAGTGCTAATATTTTATTTCTTTTTAATTAAGAGGAAGTAGAAACATAAATAGCAACTAAGGTAGCATTTACTAAAGGCTCAAAGGAAGATATTACTAAAGATATTTGATACAGGAATTTGGAGGGGAAAATAAACTTAAGTGCAAGAAGGAGAAAGCCAACACAGGAATAGCCACTGGAACAGTCCAGGTAAGAGCTTGAACCTGACTGGCCACGGTGAGGATGAGAGCAAAGAAGAAAGAAGAGACATTAACTTGGAAGAGGGCTATTTATAAGGAACCACCTGTCTTAGTGAGGGATTGGACGCTGAGCAATCAAACCAGATTGGGGTTTTGAATCTAAGTGACTGAAAATGTTTGTATGAATACAGTATGGCAAACACAGGAAAGGCACATTAGTAGAGGGGGAGGGGGTCGATGTGGAAGTGGTTGATTATGATCTTTTTATCTGTTGAGTTTGAGGTGGCCGTTGTATTTATAGTATGGCAAAGGGCAGGCCCTGGCGAGAGCTGCCTTCCTTGCAGTGGTGTTCCTTGGTGCACTATTGGCTTTTACGCTGGGCCTCAGGCTGACCAGATCCAGATGTGAAGTTAACTCTTAGCAAGCTGAGTGACTGACCTTTAGTAGGTAGCTAGCTCTAAGTACAAAACGCAACAGAATGTTTAAGCTAGCTCTAAGTACAAAACACAACAGAATGTTTAAGCTGTGCTTTGTGATAAAATGTGGCAACATCTACTTAGACAATAGACCAATCATATGGCCATCCTTCCATTCACTCATGAAGTGATCAGGTGTCCCTTGTTGAGTCTTAACGGGAGGACCTGGAGTCACTAACCAATCCCCAAATGGAGAAGCAGTCATCAGGGACTGGGTCTCTGCAGCCTGGTAAAGAGCAGCTGAGTTTTGGAGTAGGAACTACAACCCCGTCACCAGAAAACAAGCATCTTGTCAGAAAGATGTGTATGTTTGCATATTCAGATTGCTTCTATCAATGTGTTTATCTCAATGAGGCTTTGTTTCAAAATAGTATAGATACGCCTTAATCAAGCGAAGTAAAAGAATCTCAACTTTAAACACTGGTAAACCAACATTCTAAGACACTGTTTCTATTTTGACTACATTAACAAAATGCATATTTCTTTTAAAAAATATTTTGAAAAGCATTCCAAACACAGAGAAAGATATAGAGGATAAAATAACAAATATTTATGTATGTACCGCCTGGATACAAGAAATGTCATATTTGCCTCATTTTTTTGAAAGGAAATGAAATCTTACAGAATTTGATGTTCCTGTCTACCTTCTCAGCATCCATCGCCTTCCCTAGTTTGTCAGTCGTTATTACTATTCTGAAATTGGTATGTTCTTCCTGTGAGTCTTTTTATGCATTTGCTACATGCATATGTCCCAATATCATGTAATATTATTTTATATGTTCATAACTGTACAGGAATGGCATCACATAGTATTTTCTTATTCTGTCATATTTTTATATATCACAATGTATTTATCCAATTCGCGACTTGACATTTAGGTTGTTTCCAGTTTTTCCTGGAATGAACATCCTTGTACATGTGTACCTGAATGTGACCGCTTCTCTAGAGGATCTTAGTAGATAGGGAATTACTGAACTTCAGGAATTGTACATCTTTGCCTTCGCTAGAGATGGCCAAGTTGTTCCTCTACATGTTTGCTCGAAGTACATTCCTCTCAATACTGTATGAGCATTCCTAATATTCCACACTAGCTAAACATTTTAATTTTTGCCAACCTAGTGGCTGTTTTAATTTTCATCCCCCGAAAAACAGTGAAGCTTTTTTTCAAACTATCCAAGCTCTCCTAAGTCAGCTAGAAGTTTGTTGGCCTCTCATCCACCAATTAAGACAAAGTGTTCTAGATGGGGAGTAAGAGTCAGACAGAGAAAATTGTGCTGGGGGAACACGTGTAGACTCAGATAAACCCAGTCCTGCCATTCACTACTGTGAGGCTCTCCAAGGCTCTGTTTCTTCACAGAGTTGCTCCAGGATTGAAAGTAACAACTATTTCTCTTACGCTGCCTGGTACACATAGGTATTTAGCAAATTCATGATTGTATCAAAATAATTGAGTAGCCACTACATTCCAGGCATTGCTGCAGAGTCCTGGGCACAAAGCAGTGAGCATTAGATCAAGCTCTACCTGTCATGAAGCTCACATTCTCAGACAAATAATGAACAAAGAATCCACTATGTGGAATGTCCGATGATAAATGCAGCTGAGAAAATTAATGCAAGGTAAAGGGGATAAAAATGGAAGAGGGGCCCCTAGAATCAATGCTGCTTCTTCCTCTTGCTAATTTCCAGGCTGCCCTGGGATCTACTGAATCACTGGAGTTTTAACTTTCTTGAACTGTGAAATGGGAAAATAATAATGGAATCATGTGTGGTTTTATTTACTCATTTGCTAAAACTGAAGTTTAGATAGTTGTTCCAAACTTTGATTTGTTTAGAACTTTAACTTGAAAGCAAAGAGAAAAAACAAGAGTGCTTACTGATTTGACATTAACAAAATCGTTGAAAGTTGTCCAAAATTATACAGATTTTAGTGGCATGAAAAAGGGCTTCAATGAAAAAAATGTGTATATATATATACACGTATATACATATATGTGTATACATATATGTACATATATATACATATATATACATATATATGTACATATATATATACATATATATATACATATATATGTATATATATGTAACAAAAATACGTAAAGTACAAAAGGCAATGGGTGGAGACTCTCTGGAGGCCTGGAATGTAGTTTAGCCTCTATTGCTCCATAGCCATGGAATCATACCTCTCTGTGCTGCTCGGTGTCCTTGTCATAAAATGATGCTAAGAGGCCATCAATCCTACAGTTATTTTGCCCCCTGACACTACTACTTTATCATTTGATTTTGAGAACTGAGACATTTATTTCTGTTCTGAATCTTTTTTTTTTTTTAAACTGATGTTGGACTGTAACAATTTCCCTTTTTAGATATGGAAGTCTTCTTTGCAAAGAAGTGTGGTTCCTGCTTCTGCTCAGGACAGGGGATGAGTTGGAAAATCTTAACTTAAGGAGCACCCAGGACTTTGAAGAGGCTTTGAATAATTTCTTTGTTGTCATTGCTTCATGCTTCACTTCTTTGGGTGATGCTCTGAAAGCACATTGGTCAATATTCGGGTATGTTAAAATGATTGATAACATGATATTGGAAAATCACCAAATTATTTCAAAGGTAAATGGAACGTTAGAATTCCATGCCAAGAGTTTTACTTAAACATACTTTTTTTATCCTGTCTGATGCTCTTGATATAATTAACCTGTTATTGTTATAAAAACAAAGTTACATTTTTTCCAAACACCTTCATGTTCATTTCAACTTATCAAAAGGAAAGAGGTAAGTCTTAGAAAACCATCTTTTAAAAATAATGTTGCTTTAAAATTGTTTCACTTTGTCTAGTTTTTCAATGTCATCTTTTGTTTCACAGTAAAGAAAAAAACTCCTCTTTATTAAAAAAAGATTTTTGACTAGATGGCTTCAGTTTTTGTTTGTGATATTCTCATAAGCACAATCAGATGGCACAGTACGCTGGCACATGGTCCTGTATTTATTTGACTCCCTCTCCAATGTCAAACCCTAAGAGAAATTAGCCCAGAATTCTGCAAATAAGTTTCTTTTCTGAGACTGTGCAGAGAAATGATCTCAGAGATAGTACTGTTACCCAGTGAATGAAGACGGAAATCCCAAAGATTAATTCCAGCACTTGCAAAAAAATCAGGAGCATTTACTGTTACAGCTTCTTCTTAGTGTTGTCTATACAAACAGTAGTTGTGACAGAGCTTGAAGCCTCCCCAGAGCCCTCAGAAAAGAGCTGACCAGCTAGAACATGAACTTAGAACGACTCTGGTGATCACCTATGCATGTTTCAACCTTCACTTTCTACCATGAACTGATATTTGCTTACTACAATCTGTGACATCTATGTAAATATTGATGGCACCAACTTGTTTGTATTAAAACTCCCCCTTTATCACTTACTGGTGTCAATGTCATTGAAGCTCTCCTCCTACTTCTGCCTCAGCCCTTTTCATCAGGTGTCAGCCTCCAAGTTACCCCTCTCTAATCCATCCTATCATCTGCAGCAAGATTCACGTTCCCTGAACTCCCTTTCATCATACGGCTCCCATGGCCATAACTTTGAAAGCTCTCAAAAGCTCCTATGATCATAGCCACACAGTGATGTCAGTGTCCTCCATGATCTGATATCACCTCCAAAGCTCCCACCCTCACCTCCCTCGTGCCCCACCCATTGTCCTTTGTCCTGTTGCTCTTCCTTGAGGGGACATTGTGTATCTCTTACCCACTTTTCAAGGTCCACCCTAAGGCACTCTTTCAAATCCTATCACCTTCATCAACGCTTCTAGTTTATGTTATGATTCTAGTTTATGATTTCACCTCATCTCTAAATACATAGAGTACCCACTTACTTACTCGGGCCTGAATTTTCCATTCACACTGAAAACTGATATATGCAAGTAAGAGTTTCATTGTTAGTACTTCAGACATGGAATCATAGAGACGGAATGAACTTTAGATTATCGTCCTATTCAGCATCGCCTGAAGCACGGAAAATTCTCCTAGACATGTTCCCCTCTGGGTGAACACTGACAGGGTGCTATAACTTAACATGTGTCTGTTTCACCTTTGAATTGTTCTTATTATTAGAGGCATCTGCTCTTTAAGGAAGAACCCCACTCATTCCATTCCAACCAGGTGAGAATCTAATGCTCCCAGAAAAGAAAAAAAAAAAAAAATAGGGAGGAGGAGAGAATCCTCTTGTTCTCCCACCTGAGCGAGATTTCCCTTAGTCCAATTGAAATCCCTTGTGCCTGTTTTAAATGGTTTTTTTTTTCTTTTTTTTTCCATGTTTATTTTTATTTTTGGGGGGACAGAGAGAGACAGAGCATGAACGGGGGAGGGGCAGAGAGAGAGGGAGACACAGAATCGGAAACAGGCTCCAGGCTCTGAGCCATCAGCCCAGAGCCTGACGCGGGGCTCGAACTCACGGGCCGCGAGATGGTGACCTGGCTGAAGTGGGACGCTTAACCGACTGCACCACCCAGGCGCCCCCTTGTGCCTGTTTTATAACAGAACTACTCTCCTGGGTGGCTCAGTTGGTTGGGTGAGGGGCTCTAGACTTTGGCTCAGGACATGATCTGGAGGTTTGTGGGTTCAAGCCCCACACCAGGCTGTCCACGCTGACGGCGGGGAGCCTGCTGGGGATTCTCTCCCTCTCTCTCTGCCCCTCCCCCGCTCTCTCTCACCTCTCTCCCTCTCTCAAAATAAATAAACGCAGCTCACTTTTAAACATAAAATTAAAAAGAAAAAATAAAAAAGAACTAGTCTAAGCAGGGCCTGCAGATCTGCAGTGTCAGCATCACCCAGCAGCTTGTTAGAAATGCAAATTCACCGGCCATAGCCCAGAGCAACTGAACTGGAAAATATGAGGGTGGGGCCCCAGAATCGGAGATTCAAGGGAAGGCATCACCGCTATGAAATGGAAAACAGCTGGCCACTGTCTGCATCTCTGCATACTTCAAAATAGTGTCACTACGCACTTTCTCTCCAAATAATCTCACCACTCTACCTCAATTATTTTATTTTGCCGGCCACGTGGTCATCCCCGCATCCCACATGTGACAAACAGGTGAGGGCACAGGGATAGAACGGTCCCACATTCCTCCAGATGTTATCACTCTGAGGCACAAAGAGAAAAACAGCTCCAGGTGACCGCATTAGAAAACCCCTTTCAGAAAAGCCACAAGCAGTTTAATTTCCTTTAAAGCTTAGCCGGAAAAGATGTTCGTGGTGTGCGACCCCACCTGGGCTGGGCGGCAGTTCTGTGCACCGTGGGTGTGGGGCGGAGGGGGAGCCGGCCGAAAGTGAGCGGAGGATACTCGGAGTCGTGTTTTGAGCGGTTGCTTGGGTAGTGTTTATCTTGCTATTCCAACACACACACACACACACACACACACACACACACACACACTCAGTTTCTTGTCCTGAAAGGGGAACCCTGTATTTTGTAGACAAAGAGTCGCAGAAGCAACTTTCGAAGGAAAAAAAAAAAAAAACCCGAACAAGAGAAAGAAAAAAAAGAAAAAGGCTTCGCGCAATCCCCCCAGAGGGCAAAGAACCGCGCTGTTTGTCCTGTAACTCGGCAACACCCTGGGCGAACGGCGCTGCCTGTATCTTCTGCGGTTTTTCTTGCTCTTCTCCGCGCGGGCTCACTTCCACTCTCGGAACACCCCAGAAGTGCAAATTCAGGCTGGGCGGCCGCGGGCCCCAGCTGCAGGGGATCCCGCCCCAGCGTCCCGCTCAGCCCCTTCCTCCACACGCGGGCCAGCAAAGGGGCGGGCTCACGCGGCCCGGGCGCTGCGCCCCGCACGCGGTAGGGGTCGCTGCTCGGCGGCGCGCGCTCCTACCGCGGAGAAAAACGGGGCCGGGCTGCAGGAGAAAGGAAACCTGCCCGGGACGCGGCGGCGGCCGGGACGGAGCGAACGACGAGAGTTCACTTTTGCTCGGGTGTCAGCGCGCGGCGGCTGCAGCGAGCGCTGACCAGGGAGCATCGCGCGAGCGGGTCGCCCATCTCGGGGCGACCGGGGGAGGGCAGCGAGAGGCCGGATACGAGCGCGCCGGCGGGGCGCGGAGCCGGCGAGCCTGGCTAGCGAGGGGAGCCGCGGGGGGCGCGCCCCGGGCGGGCCCCCGGAACAGCGCAGGATGCCCCACGAGGAGCTGCCGTCCCTGCAGAGACCCCGCTATGGCTGTAAGTACGCCGGGTGCGCGGGGCTTCCGGCGGCCTTGGGGAGACCCCTCCCCGGGGAACGCGTTGGAGAAGCCGAGGGAGCCGGGTGCGTGCCGCGGAGGGAGCCGGAGGGCAGCAGCTGTGTGGCTGGCAAAGTTGGGAGCTGGAGTTGCAGAAGGTAGTGAGCGGCGTCTTCCCGCTCTCCCCGCAATTTTCAGATCCTCAGGGGCAACCCCAGTCTTGTGCCCGGAAAACCCCGCCGGGGCGCGCGCAGGCAGTGCTGAGTCTGAGCTCTGGGACGGGCCCGGTTGTGCGTTTAGGGGTATCAGGTGAGGAGCCCTTGGAGCTCCGGGCCGCTGCCGGCTCGGACCAGGGGGTGGCGTAAGGGACTGGATTGTTCCAACTCTGAAGGAAAGTTTGCCGTGGCTACAGGTGGGCACCGCGAGTACTGCGCCCACGCACTCTACCGGTGGCAAAGTCGGTTCTCCTGGAACAGCTCTCCTCCTACCTTGCTCCCTCGAGCTGCACGTGAGCTGAAAGAGCCAGTTTGCGCCCCATTGGCGTGAGTCCTTTTCTGCTGCTGCTGAAAGGGGCACCTCCGGGCCCAACCCCTCTGTTCCCTGCTGCCCTGTGACCCCTGCCAGGACTGCCATGGGGAGAGGACGCAGAGCTAGGCTCCCCAGGATCCGGTCGGAGCCCGTGTGACTTGAACGAGATGGTGTCGATTTACTCAGCCAGGGGCTGCTGCCATCGGAAAGAGGTTGCTTTGGCGGATCGTGAGTAGATGGAGCCAGATTAGCACCAACCACGTGGCTTCGTGTACAGAGTTCAGAGTCTTGGCTAAACATGCCAGGAAGTATTTCCTTTAAAACAAACAAAAAGTTGGCGTCCATCGCAGGCCCTGTCAGTGAACCCATGGCCGAAGACCACTGGTTAATCTTTTGCCCTGGGTGGCCTTGGGGTAGAGGAATCAGGTTTGGGTGAAGGTGGTGATACCTGCTGCAGGGTTGTTTTGTGCGCTTGGGAGGGCGGGGTGGGAGGGGAGGAGTTAACGTGTGTAAGTTCTTTCTCCCCATTAGTCTTGGAATGGAGAGTTAGAGATAGGAAGTTAGTTTTGCCATGTGACCCGTTTGGTGTATGGCAATGAGGAAGAAGCCTGAGGAGCCAGCTGCAGACTCCGTACAGCAGGGAAATGCATTAAATAACGCGCCAGGACTCGGTTCTTTGCAGCCTTAATGACACTGTAGTAAAGCACACAGACGGCAGAGCTCCTTGGATTCGAGGAGCCATGCTGTGGTCATTCAGTGTGTGTGGTGTCACCCACAGGTTGGTGAAAGCCTCTTATTTATGTGACAAGCTCTCGGAGCATATGGTAGCTTCACTGTGTCAAATTATAAGACGACCCCGTTGTGGAAACTAGGCAAATAGAGCCCCCCCCCCCCCCCGCAATGGCTTTGGATGCACATTTTAAAGCATGATGTATTTGGTGGGTCATCTCTCAGGAGTTCAATGTGCGTGCAAAGTTGGAGTGAATGAAGTGCGTTAGTGTAACGTTTTCACATGCAGAAACAGATGGATCTGTGATGGTGCCTGATTTTCATCAAATAGACCTGTGGACCTAGCCCACGTCAGAAACGCAACCAAGGAGGTTCAGATCCCACAAGCATGAAGAACATGCCACACTGCCACTTTGTTTTGTTTTGTTTTAAATGTTGATTTATTTTTGA